ACCTTTAAAAATGTTGAAAAAAAAACGCTTTTATTCTATATTTACTTTTTAAAATTTTTAAAAAATTTTTTTAAATTTTATTTTATTATGTTAATCACCATACATTACATCATTAGTGTTTGATGTAGTGTTCCATGATTCATTGTTTGCGTATATATAACACCCAGTGCTCCATTCAATACATGCCCTCTTTAATACCCATCACCGGGCTAACCCATCCCCCCACTCCGCTCCCCTCTAGAACCCTCAGTTTGTTTCTCAGAGGCCATAGTCTTTCATGGTTCACCTCCCCCTCCGATTTCCACCCCCTTCATTTTTACTTTTCACAGTATTATATTGGCTGTGTAGTTCTCCTTGATAATCATTACCTACTGTTTATTTTATTTACCATTGATGCTGATGTCCCTCTGTTACTTTGCTATTTAGGTCCTATTGAGTAGTTGCCTGAAATGCTTAGATGTTTCATAATGAAATATTGATACATATAAAACATACTTAAGGTATAAATAAGAAATCAAAGACCTGTGGTTTGTCATCTCATAAAGCTATAGTTTTAGCTATTAGAAGTAATTCTGAAGTATCCTAAATAATGATTCCTCTTAGATATTTCTTGACTAGCATTCATCAGTTGAAAGGAGAGGGGGGTGGTTGATAATGATTGTAATAAGAATGGGAATAATAAAACACCTAATGACCCTTAACATGAAGAGAATTATGCCTAATTTAAAAACAAAGAGTGCTTTATGTAATGAGCTATGTGAATATATGATATTAATGCCTTTTTGTTATTAGAGCTTCACATTATAAATTAGTTCCTATTATAATCAGATCAGAAAAAAGGATGGAAAGGGAGAAAAGTGAGGGAACAAGTCAATCTCTAAAAAAAAAAATTATCTTAGAACCATTGAAGTTTTTTTTTCTAAACATGATTATGCTTCTTTTTTTTTTTAAGATTTTATTTATTTATTTGAGAGAGAGAGAGAGCATGAGAAGGGAGAGGTCAGAGGGAGAAGCAGACTTCCTGCTATGCAGGGAGCCCAATGTGGGACTCAATCCTGGGACTCGAGGATCGTGACCTGAGCTGAAGGCAGTTGCTTAACCAGCTGAGCCACCCAAGTGCCCCAGAACCATTGAGGTTTTTTTGGAAGTTGGTAGAAGGAAAGCAGGAAGCTTAGTACATCAAAGGCTCTACTTGAACTCTCTCTTTTTTATCATATACCTTTGGAAGCACGTACAATTATGGATTATTTAGAGTATTCATAGACTCAAATCCCTGTCAGTGATAGTTTTTGGAAATAAATGTGTCAAACTAAAGCAATTTAGTTATATTTCCTTGTGAGATTTTTTGCCATTTCCCTGATTTTGAAAATATTACATTCAAAGCTATTAAAAAATATGTAAAGGCTGGGGCACCTGGGTGACTTGTTCGCTTAAGCATCTGCCTTTGGTTCAGATGATGATTCTGGGGTCCTGGGATCGAGCGCTGTGTTGGTCTCCCTGCTCAGCGGGGAGTCTGTTTCTCCCTCTCCCTCTGTCCCTCTCCCCTACCCACCCACTCATGCTCTCTCTCTCAAATAAATAAAATCTTTAGGAAAAAAAAGAGTAGATCTTTAAAAAATATATGTAGTCTATCCTTGTAAATGGTTTATTTAGATTTGTATGACATAGGTAACTTTAATAATTGATAGTGTTTTATTTTTGATGATTTTATAGTAAAGCTTAGTATTTAACTTTTTAATATGGGGTATGGGTTCTGTCTACATTCATGAATATTTATCAAATGTAATTTTTATTTTGAATATTTATATTGTAAAAGAGAATGTTAGTTAAATCCAGTCTTGTTTGATTTTAAAACTTTTAGGTATCCCTAAAAGTCAAAATACTTCCCTGTAAAATAGGACCTTCTAGCCTTTTGTTATTACATTTAAATATTTACTTTCAAACCTCAACATGTTTGTACTCATTCTACATTCTACAATTGTTATTCTAACTTGTTTTATAAATTATTCTGGTAATGAGAAATGTGCTTGCATTCTGTATTTCACCTAAGCCCCTGAAGATTTTTAACAATAATATGGCCTTCCTGTAAGGCAGTTCAACATGGAGGAAAAAATAGGGTTTTCTGTTCTTTAAAAATCATTTTAAGAAACAAAATTGATGAACATAGGGGAAGAGAAGGAAAGATAAAATAAGATGAAATCAGAGAGGGAGACAAACCATAAGAGACTCTTTTAACTATAGGAAACAAACAGGGTTGCTGGAGGGGAGGTGGGTGGGGGGATGCAGTAACTGGGTGATGGGCATTAAGGAGGGCACTTGGTGTAATGAGCACTGTGTGTTACATGCAGCTGATGAATCACTAAATTGTACACCTGAAAATAATAATACACTATATGTTAACTAACCTGAATTTAAATGAAATCTAAAAAAAAAAAAAAAGAAAGAAATCCAAAATAATTCTTCTTAGACATTTCCTTAGTGGCAGCCATCAGTGGAAAGGAAAGGGAGGGAGAGAGGTTCATCAATATGGTGTTAGGAATGACAGTTTTGACCTATTTCAGTGCCAGTTTCATGACTCTAGTAGGCAAGTTATACTTACCTTTTCTAGTACCCACCTTCTTCCTTTGGAAAATGTTAATGATGGGTACCTACTCCATAAGGATTTAAGGTTTTTATAGAGAGAAAATATGTAAAGCACATAGCATGATGCTTGGCACACAGAATGTGCTCAACAGATGTTAGTTATCTTCCGTTTTCATCTTAATTTTCCTTATTTAATTCTGAAATAATTTGTAAATTAATTCTAAGTCACTTTAAAGAAAAGTGCTGACCCCATAAGGAAATGCTTAAAATAGAGAATGTTTGTCTGTAGTAAGTCAAAATAAATGGAAATGTTTTTCACCTCCATCAGGTAAAGGAGCTTAATTTGCTTTCTTCTAACTTGGGTATGAGTGGCTCAATCACCATATGACAGAGTTCTTTGACTCTGATTGTTTTTCATATTAGGATAAAAAGTGGAGTAAACAGTCATTCTACTTATTTCTAATCCCTACTTTTCAAAATTCACATTTGACCTTAAATATTTCCCCAAATAGATTTTAGCGTAGAGGTGTTAGTTCCAATGCCTCGTTTATACAGTTAAATACATCAAATTCAGCAAGTTAGTGTGGGTGTGGCAGGGATTGGCGAGATTATTAAATGATTTAACTTCTATTAATCAAAATGTAACTATATTTTAGAGAGTAAAATTAGTAGCTATATCACTTGAGTTCACGAAGACTTAGCTGATTTTTAATAATTAATGCATTTTTTCTGCCAGTGAGCATTAGATTTCTGCTGACTTTTTAGTGTCATAGTACCTCGTGGTAGTTTCTTTACAGGGTTTAAAGGTGTATCCCAGTGCTTTTTTTTGCTTTTTGTTTTTTTTCTGTCCTGTCCATAGGAAATAATCTTTACAAATGCTATAATGAGACTACCTCTAGAGATTCACATGTGCCATTAATATGTTATAAGGCTCGGTCAGTTGCATTGTCTTCTCTTGTCAATCTTGATCGGAGCTTGCCGAGTAAGTCTATAAGCCTGCATGTGCCTGGCAACTGTTACCTAGTGACAGTTTCAGCTGCAGTAGCCATTGGCTGTGCTGTTGATTGGGGCAGGAGGACCGAGTCACCTTTCTAATGGTGAGTTCTTCTGCATCAGCTCAGGATGAGGAGGAGGAGCAGGGCTCCGGCTCAGGTGGAGGCAGTGATACTGAGAGATTGTGAAGAATATACCGACAGCATCCTGGTAACTGCATCACAGTAGATCGGACTTCTGAATCAAGCAGCCCAGCCTAGCAGCTGATAAGAGTGAATGTAGGTGAGAAGCATTGCCTTATTCCTGTAAGAAGAGACTATTTTGTGATAAGTGAAACTAGGAATGTACAAGGAGGAATATCCTGTGACTATTATAAAAGAAGAAAGACTTCCCTGAATGACTTGGTGGTGCACGAGAAAACAACTTTCAGAAGAATGCTTTCTATTAAGCTGCTGCTTTGTTCCTGAAGGAAATGTTTTTTATTTCTAATGCATGTTATTTCTTCAAGAGGTATGACAACAAAGACTGACAAGAAACTCTCTGAAATACGTGTACTTTAAAAAAGCTTTTGACAAATGTTCACCTGATAATCAGAATGACCTTGGAAGCCTTTTGGATGGATTCTATCCTGCAAGCCTTTCAGTATTTCAAACTCTAGGATTTAAACTCACCTTGATGCTTTAGAGGTATTTTAAAATAAGACCATCTTATAACCTACCTAATGGCCCCTGTATTAATTGAGCACTTGCTCAAAATAGAATACAGAAATAGAAGAGGCATTTTCTTAACATATGGCTGCTATATAACTGCAAATATAACAAACAAGGTAATTTTCCACTTTCAGAAGATTTAGTCGAAGTAATGATCTAATGTGTTAATCCTCTGATGAAAATAGAAGAGAGAGAAACGTAGACTACAAAGCCTACTAGAAATACCTAAGTAATAAATAATGGCAGCATTTCTGGTCAAGTAAGCTCAGTATATAGGAAAGTTTCTATTGTCTAAATTTCATATATATGTGAGATATAGGTGTGGTTGCGAAGGTGAGAAATAACTTTGAGCTATTATTTTAATGATCATGCTCCATTATTTGGAAGGTGGCATATCAGATAATACAAGTTATTTTCAGTTATTGATGCTGAAATTAGTAACACTTATTTTCCCTTTGAAAAGGAAAAAGTATAAATTATATTGTTGGTGGTAGCACTAGTAATTGTGATGGACTAAAACTGTTTTCATCTGAATGCTTAAAAAATTGCATGCAGAATTAAAACTTTAAAGTTTATCATCTTTTGTCAGGTGTTAACCCATTGTATATTATCTTCCCTACTGGAAATAAGCTTTTATTTCCTCATGAGAGTTATAGGACGATCTGGAGTCTTTTACCTCTGCTCTGCTCCTTTATGCCCAAGTTGAGCTGAGTCTTTTAGAATTAACCTCGTGTGTGTGTTTGTCGGGGGAGTTAGCTTTTTTGAGAAATGAGAGAGAAATAGATCATGAAGTTGATCCACCAGCATCAAACCCTGAACTGAGTCCAAAGACACTTTTTGCTGCAATGAACTTTTTCTTAGATTTGCGACTAGATCTTAGATCTTAGTTATTTAAACTGTAAAGTATGAATCCACTTCTTATGATAGATGAAGCAGAAAGCCTGAGACAATTTAAGACTTTTTCCTCTTCTCATTCATTCTAATTGATCCCTAACAAACTACCTTTCTGAGGAGAACAAACACCGCACAAAGGCTTTTCTTCCCTTGTCAATTGATTTTTTTTTTCTTTTTACAGATTTAATTTTTCATAGTGCAAGGTAATAAGAAATCCATTTTCTCTAGAAGTGCCTGTGTCTTCAGAAGTTGTTTGAGAGCACTGGAGGAAGCTCATCAGTGACCTTTTTTCACCTCCTTTCTAGCTTACCTCCCTCTCTCCCCCCGCCCCCCACCCAAAGTTGAGATGTGTCACTGCTGCACTGAGCTGATGAAGAGGCTTGAGTACTCTCTGGGAGGCTCAGCTGTGACAGAAGCACTGCCACTGTCTACCGAAGCTGATCCCAAGACACTAATGTGCAGAGTTTAACACATGCTGGACAGGGCGCCTGCTTGTTGGAACCAAGGCTACCCGTTTCCTTAATTCCAAGCCATGAATGAATCCAGGTGGACTGAATGGAGCATCCTGAACATGAGCAGTGGCATTGTGAATGTGTCTGAACGTCACTCCTGCCCACTTGGATTTGGCTACTACAGTGCAGTGGATGTGTGCATCTTTGAGACCATTGTTATTGTCTTGCTGACATTTCTAATCATTGCTGGGAATTTAACGGTCATCTTTGTCTTTCACTGCGCTCCACTCCTGCACCATTATACTACCAGCTACTTTATTCAGACAATGGCATATGCTGATCTTTTCGTTGGAGTTAGCTGCTTGGTTCCTACTCTCTCACTTCTTCACTACTCCACAGGTATCCATGAGTCATTGACTTGCCAGGTTTTTGGATATATCATCTCCGTTCTAAAAAGTGTTTCTATGGCATGTCTTGCTTGCATAAGTGTGGATCGCTATCTTGCAATAACCAAGCCTCTTTCCTACAATCAACTGGTCACCCCTTGTCGCCTGAGAATTTGCATTATTTTAATCTGGATCTATTCTTGCCTAATTTTCTTGCCTTCCTTTTTTGGCTGGGGGAAACCAGGGTACCACGGTGACATTTTTGAATGGTGTGCCACCTCCTGGCTCACCAGTGCCTATTTTACTGGCTTTATTGTTTGTTTACTTTATGCTCCTGCTGCCTTTGTTGTCTGCTTCACTTACTTCCACATCTTCAAAATTTGCCGGCAGCACACCAAAGAGATAAATGACCGGAGGGCCCGATTTCCTAGCCATGAGGTAGATGCCTCTGGGGAGACTGGACACAGCCCTGACCGTCGCTACGCCATGGTTTTATTTCGGATAACCAGTGTGTTTTACATGCTGTGGCTCCCTTACATAATTTACTTTCTTCTAGAAAGCTCCCGGGTCTTGGACAATCCAACACTGTCCTTCCTAACAACCTGGCTTGCTATAAGTAATAGTTTTTGTAACTGTGTAATCTATAGCCTTTCCAACAGTGTTTTCCGGTTAGGCCTCCGAAGACTGTCCGAGACAATGTGCACGTCCTGTATGTGTATGAAGGATCAGGAAGCACGAGACCCCAAACCTCGGAAACGGGCTAATTCCTGCTCCATTTGAAGAGAACTATACAGAACTCAAATGTAATCTGTAGGAGTTTTGGATTGTATTCTTGGTTCATCTGGAAATTTGCCACTAGAGAAATATTTACTTGAATAGTTGACTATGAGATGAAGGGACTAGAAGTTTCTTTTCTTTTTTTTTCCCCCCTCTTTTTCCATGGTGGTGGTGGGGAACTAGAGAAAAGAATGTATAGAGGGCAATCTCATGAGATAATTATAGTGTATGAATATAAATGTACAGTAATAGCAAAATTAAGCACGGAGGATGAAAAAAGTATTGAAAAAAATATCTCAGATCTTCCACAGGACATGAGCAAAGCCCCTCGGCATCTGTCTTCTCTGGCTGAGCTCTCTCCTCTGTCTTTGCCTCTCATTCTGTCCGTCTCTGTCTCTCTCACTCTCTTTGTGTTTGTGGAAATTACTTACATAAATCGCCCTTTATAGTAAAATGCTACATATTATATATGTGGCAAAGTACAATTTTTTGCATCAAAGTATACTTTTAAACATACTAATCTGCAATCCATAAATGGTTTCTCCATGAAGGATGTGTAGTAAGTATTGTATTTTATTACCTGCCACATAACCTTTTTGCTTGTGTTTTTATAACATCCACAGCATAAAATTTCCGTTATAAACAAAAAGAAACAGTATTTTTGTTTCTTCTGGGTAAAATTATGCTTAACCCTCCACCCCCTTTCTAACAGCCTGCTATTTTTTTCTCTCTCCATTTTTCTTGATCTGTATCCTTCAGTACCTTAATCCAAAAGTGTCTTAGCTAAAGAAAGAATCTACTATATAAAGCAATCATAATGTTAAATAATCTATTCCTTCCAATAAAGCAATCTATAGCTTGTTTGAGATATTGTGTTAAATATTTTTAATAGCTTTTGTAAACATTTTTATCTGGTTCCTTTTCATTTAGTTCATGTGCCCAAAGTGGTATCTTTTTTTGCTATAATAAAGCTTTGTTTTTCTTTAAGAAAATCCACAAATCTAATGCAGATGCAGAGTATTCACCCAGAAGTGAGGTATTGATTGCCCTTTCAGACCACACTCCCTGTGTCCCCATTTTTTTTTACCCCTTAAGAGTAAATATTAACCTTTTGTGTTAGGTCTACAAAGCTTAGTGTTGCGTCCACCAATCATTTGTGTGATATGCATTTGCATATAGTATATTTTTTACAACAAAGAAAATGTAAATTATATTATGTGATCTGTGCCTAATGTTTTCTTAGCACAATATATAGATCAATGTTGCTTAAGTCATCAACATTGGAAAAAATATACAAAAACTTCTTTGAAGAGAAAAATACTTTTGTGTAGTTGTTATTTAGATATTTATATTAGACCAAGCTGCATTCTTAGTACTGCTGAGAATACAATATACTTAATTATCAAATACAGGTAAGAGCTGTCAGTATTTTCTTTTGTAATGATCTGTTTTCATACACAAAGATTAAATTAACTTATTTTTTAGTGTGCTACATGGAATTGTATAATAAATTGTCAGGGGTTTAGATGTAGCAAAATGGCATTTGGGGAATAGTAGTGAAGCAAGTGTGAGTGGTAAAACATCTAAATCTTACTTTTTTTTACTATAAGTTTCCTGCCTGACAGATATTTTAAAGTTTATATCAGACTACTGAGTATTTTTCTTCTCAGCATTTTGATTTCTTTGTTTTATGAAATGCATTTAATGAAATGTGCCTATGACTTCAAATTGGAAGCCAACTGTGTTTGCACACCAGTGGTTTGACTTCAGAGGTCCTTTAATAGAAAATGTCATCATTTTATTGAGGTTGTTCTGAACCCATGTATATTTTTAAACATGTAAGAAAGGTTTAAAATAAAGAATAAAATAGTATTCTATATATCAAAATCAGACTTTGTTTCAGTTTAATAAACACTCAGAACGAGAGTTTGCTTGTTTGGGAGTCAAAATTTAATTGTTTAACATTTCTGTGGTTTGGGTTATGTATAGTCTTGCCCTCTGTTTGCCAGTGACATTTTGGATAAGTTGAAATGAGCCTTTTAGGTTCAGACCAGTTCAAGGAAAACAAAATTCAAGAAAGCATAATACTACTAGCTTTTCAGCTGTCACAAATAGAATCTTCAACTTGATATGCATTATTTGGGAATCAAATTTTGATTCCTTTAGTTTGGTGTGTAAATAGAGTTAGAAAGGACTCAGTAGATCTCTGTAGAGGAAACCTGAGGCTGTGTTTATTGCATTTTCCTCTTCTGGCTTTTCCTCATGATAATAACAATTATGTGTCAAGTTTTAACACTGTGTTAACTTTTACATATATTATAACATTTAATCCTCACTACAGCCCTTTCAGATAGGTACTTTTATTATTCTTGTCCTAGAGATGAGCAAACTAAAGAAGAGTGATTAATGCCAGGTCACTCAGTCAGTCAGTAACAGAGGTTCATTCACACTCAGCTGGGTTGGAGCTAAAGCCTATGCATTGAACCATTCTGCTCTACTGCTTTTCTTTCTTTCTTTCTTTCTTTCTTTCTTTCTTTCTTTCTT